TTAGTGAACTGAGGTTACTCTGCAGTTAATGAGGTTAAAATTGCTGGCTCCTGTATACAATATTTAATCCTGGGAGTAGTCATTTTGAGGTCATTATTGCTTGTACCAGTTCCGTAAGGTAGCTTTGATGCACATATTTAGTCTTTAAATTACCTGACCTTGACTCAAAAGGTACCTATTATAAGTGATGAGAAGTGTTGAGGTATTTGTGCAACTTTTGGTTAGGTTTTGAATTATAGCAACACTTGAACAGGGGAATTTTTCATTGGTTAAAATGTCACTGAAAACACATTTGTACCATCAATGTGATACTTAAGAAGACGTTATACTTTTGACCTGTTGACAGCTCTTGTGGTTGAAGCTTTTTTTTTTAATAGGAGTTTTAAGAGGATGGGATATGAATCCATATTGAAGATGAAATTGGTGGTTCAGCTATGGCCTTCCAACAGTGATTTCCTCTACCTGACCTGCTTTTAAAATCTTGTTATTTCAAATAATCTAAATTGAAATTCACTCAATAGCTTTTTAAAAGAGTAAATAAAGGGCCACATCAGAGAGGAGAGACTTAAGCAAGGACGTCATGTCAGCCATCCAGCCTGTAAAGCATTTTCTACAGAAGCAACTGCAATGTATGGAGCAATGCAGACAGCAGGGAAAGCCCCACTTGCCTCTGGAATAGCAGTGGCAGAGCCTGGAACATGATTCCACACCCTTCCCAGGAGTTTGGCCCTCTGCACCTGAGGCCAGGTGTTTGGTCAGAAAGAGATATTTGAAAAGCCTTTTTTGTCTTGGGACTTTTCTGACCAAAAGCTGGAAGAAGGCTTTCCATGGCAGAGGCTTCCAACAGCTGCTTGGGAATGAGATTGGTTCCTGCTGGGGACACTCTGCAGTGGGTGGTGCAGCCTGTTGCTTGTGCCTGTTCGCACACTGGATCCTGGCCCTGACCTGGGGACTGGTTTTTTTACCTCAGGCCTGGTGCCTTATTTATTTAGGATTGTTCAGCCTGGAGGATACGGGGGGACCTTACAGAAGCCTTCCAGTACCTAAAGGGAACTTATAAAAAAAGGAGAGAAATGTTTTACATGGGTACATGCTGATAGGATAAGGGGTAATGGTTTTAAATTGAAGAATGGTCGATTTAGATTAGATATAAGGAAGATGTTTTTTATAACGAGAGTGACAAAATACTGAGAGAGACTGGCCAGGGATTCTCCATCCATGGAAATATTAATGAATCAGCTTGCAGGTGGGTTGGACTTGATGATTTTTAAAAGTTCGATTCCAACTCAAAGTATTATATGATTCTGTGATTATGGGCTTGCCTTCTCTGGGATCTTACCTCACACAGTGTGATGAGATGGCTCTTGCTGCTGATACCTTTGCTTTGGCCAGCTTTGTCACTATGCTTGGCTTACATCTTCCTCTTCCTCATGGAACAGCTCCCTCTTGCTCCTTCCTGACATAGTAGGACTAGAGACCATCATAGTGCATCCAGATAGGATGCAATTATGGCAGCACTTCTCTCCAAATCCCTGTGAGTGAGGCTGACAGTACAGTTTGCATCCTCTGAGGGCAGCTTGTTGAACATGCTATTTTCAAGCCTGAAAAGTAGAGGAAGAAAATCAGAGACCTTGTGCTTTGAAAAATTTTGCAAAGACCAAAGAAAAAACTACTTGTGGCTTGCTCAGGCATTCCTTGGTTTTTCCTTGCTGTCTTCAATTAGTGGGTGATCTGTCAGCAACTTTTCAAAACTGAATTTGGAAGTCTTTGTCAGGATGTTCTGTAAACCAAAAATCTAAGTAGCTTAAAAAAAAACCTTACAAAAATAAAAGATATATCCATAGGCCCACCTCAGAAAAATCAGAAAGATAATTCTGCACTTGTGCAGCTTCTTAAATGCTTTGCCTGCCCAGTCATCAGAAGTTACTCGCTGCTTTAGGTATGCAGGCACTGGGTAAAACTTTGGTACCTGCTTGTCCATAGAATGTTTGGAAGACAGTGTGGCCCACTTCACCCTGCCAAGAAACTTGTAACTTCTGGTCACAAGAGCTCTTTGTGTTCATTCCTTTCCTCCATATGGTCTGTGAAGAGAGACTGTAGAATGGGAGGGATCAGAAATTAAAGGTATCTGTCTTTTACACTTCTTTGTATATTTACAACGTATATGAAGATGACACACTGGCAAAACCAGCTAAATTTCAAGCATGGCACTGAAGTACCATGAGTGCCAAAAGAAAACTGATTGTCAAGCACTAGTGAAGTGTGTTGTAAGTGGATGTCATGGGTCAGTCATTGTGGATGTCGTGGGTCATGTACCCCTCAGTCACACACTCCCCGGATACTGCAAAAATGACTGGTATCCTCTCTTGCATTTTTAAACTATTTTTTGTATTCTATAAATGGTTCACGGGAGATACTGCCATGGCTCAGTGCCTTAAATAGTAACCATAAAAAAGGGCATGCAAAGATTGAATCCTTGCTGGGAGATAAAAATCATGATCCGTCAAATTAGAAATGTGGTGGCAAAACATCTTGTTTTCTTGGTGTATGTGATAAGGCCATAGGCAGTTACTTAATAATAACACATAAGAGCATTAAAACTGTTGAAGATGTACCCTAATGTTGTTTTGGCTGAGAAATATGACTCTTGCTTTCAAGCGTATCCTTCTCTCATTAGAGATAAATCTTTTTTCACCAGAGAGATAGATGTACATGCATCTTTGCATGCACATTTGCATGACATACAGCATCTTTTCTGTAGAAAGTTAGGAGATTTTCTTTGCAATGTAGTACAACATTTATTGCAGCACCTCCTTCTCTGGCATGTTTTTCAATGATTATTGCAAGGGTTTTGTGAAATGGTACATCAAGTGGAAGCCATGTTGTCTGTGCTGTCCCTCTCCCTGCAAGCTAATCAACATAGGCTGGAAAAAGTAAAGGGCCTTAAACAATCAAAATGTAAATAACTGAGGCTGTCCAGAATTGTTGCTGTACATGCTAAGCACCAGGAGCAGGTATTGCTGTTTGAGTATCTAAGTTGCCTTAGCAGGTATTTAAAGGCCATTAAAGGCACTCTATCAAGCCTCTGAATGTTTGTAGGTTGTTTTTTTGTGGTTTGTTTTTTTTTTTAATTTTTAATTATTATTTGTAATTAATGGTTTTCTATCTTCTTAACATGTATTATAATTAAAAGAGGATGGTTGTGTGTGTGTGTATATATATACATATATATTTAGCTTAAAAACACAGGTTATTTTACACTATTACCATTTGGTGAATCTTACTGAAGTGAGTATAGCTATGCTTCTCTACCACAGGCAAGAAGCTGGAGAAAGCAGCTTGATCTTGAAAAATAATTTCTTTTTCTATGTAAAAATAGGAACATTAGAAGATAGCATTTCTTTCCTACTTTTGTTAAATGACCTTTCATGTTCAGACTTAATCTATTGGCTGCTATGCTTGAAAGAAATGGTACTAAAATACACATGAAGCTGGTTGCATAAGTGAATTCTGCTTTCATGCTACAGACATTAGTCTTTCCTGTGGGTTGCTCAATTCTCTTAATAGATTTATAAAGATCTATAGAGACAATTTCTTCACAGTGTGGGGATATTGATGAGTACAGTCAGCTTTATTCTTCAAGTCACAAGGGGCAAGAGTAGCAGTGCAGTACCAATCAGTCCTTCTTAATCTTCATCCACAAATGGCAGTGTTCTGCTCACCAATACATGGTCAAGGAATCTTGTTGCCCATAAAAGCTCACATTAAAAGTACCCTACTTCAGAGAGCACATGGATCACAGGAAATAAGTTTTCCACCATGAGGATGACCAAGCACTGGCACAGATTGCTCAGAAGGTTGTTGAGTCTCCATCCGTGCATCCTTGAAAATAATCTAAAGTCATATAGACAAGTTCCTTGGCAGTCAGCCCTGGGTGGCCCTGCTTGAGCAGAGAAGTTTGGACAAGATAACCCCAAGAGGTCCCTTCCTACCTCAGCAGTTCTGTGATTCTGTGGTTCTGTAACATTGGAAAAAAAAAAAAAGTATTTTTATTTGTTTTTATTTCCTTCAAACTGAAATTTGGAAATGTGTGGGTGTGTGTGTGGAAGTGGAATGTCAGCATCATTGTTTGCTGGCTTTTAGAAAGGAAGGCAGAGAATTTGCTTGGCCATGTACAGTGAGATTTAGTTTTCAGATTATGAAGGAAAATATTTAAATTCTGGTTGGCACAGCCAGCTTAAAGACAACAGGGTGGATTGGTAGGCCAGAAGTGATTCAGGCCTCTGCAGAGTAGAAGCCCATGGGGCAGTGAGCTAAATCCCTCTGAAGGGGTCACTGAGTACAGCAGGAGCAGAGACCCCTGCCACACCCACAGTCCTGTGTTTGAATTACCAGCTGAGTCCCAATCAATGCATCTCATTAAACCCGGAGAGCCTGCAGACTGGAAAATGTATCTACTCAAAGTGGAATTCAGCTAAAATAGGGAGGGTAATGGGAAGGATCTTCTTGTAAAAATATATAAATATCCAGAGTCTTTGAGTAGTCAAAGGACTGTATTTTTACCTTTCAGACATCAACTTTCACAGCAAACTGTACTCTGTGCATTGCTTGGACAAAGATTTGATTGAACAGATGGATTTGCTTGCTCCTGATGTGAGCAGCAAGTGAAAATGTCTCTTCTTGTGCTGAGCTTTCAATCTTTTATTGAGTATTTTGATAGAAATCCATAATTATTACATGTTGAGTAACTTCTGGTTATCCAGAATCCTGTACCTCCTGGTTCTTTCTGTTTATCAGCCTCACCCCCTTACATACATCCAGCATGAAAATGGACATTTCCAAGTATGCAACAAGGTTACGTGCAAGCATTAAAAATTAGGAGAAAATATCTTTCATTCCATATGACTCCAAAGAATTCTACCTAATATGAAATGCTTAAAATCGAACTCACTAGACCATGGTGGCCTAATAAATCTGACTTCTGCATGCACAAAATACAGGGAGAAGACTTCCCTGTGAATTCAGGGAGAGGATTGCTTTTGGGATGACTGAAAGTTCAGATTCAGCGCCGTGGATTGGACACAGTGAGGTGAGTTCTGCATATATTTCTTTTATTGTTTGTATGTTCTGACTGAGAAGATTGTGGCCTGCACTGCCATTTTCCTATTGGAGCAGGAGGTAGTGAGAAATAAATGTGCATTTCATTATCCATCACCGAACAAACTACCAATCTGATGTTTTGCCTTTACAAAAGCATACAGGTTTTTACTTTTTTGTCTCTTTTCTGGGTGGTACTGATTTCACTATGAAGAGATACCTTCAGCTGCATGAGAAATAAACTTCAGCTCTTTAATATTGCAGCAGAAGAGAAAACTGTTAATGTTTCCCTCCACAATCAAGGAGGTGATTTCTGCATTAAAACTCTTATCTGTTATGCTATTTATACTACAGGATATTGAATGGTACTCTTGGTTTTTTTTTTTTTTTTTTTTTTTTGTCTTCATTGATAAGTAATCTTAGTGCTAAAAGCCCTATCATAATACCATGTTTCTTCAGTTGACAGCATGCTGACATCGAGTGCCAGCAATGCAAACAATTAATATGAGACTGAACAACTAAGCTTTAGGATATGCAAAAAGTCTCTTTGTGAGTCATACATGGAGCCATTCCATAGACTGAATACAGTTACACTGTGGAATAGTTTATGTATGAAGGGAACACATCCTGTGAGTCTGATTTAATACCACACCATTGTTGTGAGTGAATGTTAGATGGGACCTTACCCATCTAAATGCAGTGTATGGAATGAAAAGTGTCACTGTTACAGTTCTTGAAGAAGGCAGGTGTGAAATCAAGAACCCAAGTATGGAAAAATATTTTCTTGCAGAGGAGAGGAAGCATATTTGTTGACTGAGATTTCCCCCAAAAATGTAAAAGGAGTTGAACTTAGAAGAAGCTGATTGGCTGCAGGTTGATGGTTTCATGTTATGAAGATGTAAATATGTGTGGAAGTTACCTCAGTTTCCCTGACTGCTTTAAGTGAGGAAAGCATGATGTAGGGAGTACATATTTGTCTCTCTAGGGAGAGATAAGAGCAAATGAACTGTAGAGATCTAAGACTGAGGAGAACTCAAGGTCAGATGTTAGCTATTATGAGAATTTTACATAGCACCAGAGCAAAGAGCCTTTGCTAGGTTGGTCACCAAAGCCCAACTGGTTTGTTGTCTGTTCCAAGCATCTTAGAGAGACAGCTGTCCTCATATGTGCTGGTAGTCTTCTCCAACTCTGAGGTTATTTTTGTGGGGGGTGGCTTTGAAAACCAAACAGTTGAAGTGCATATTCCATCTAGTCAGACAGGCTTCTTGATAACAAAATCATATGCTTATCAGTAATCTGGGTTGGTAAAAATGGTCTATGTTACTTAGTCCTTAATGTCTTGCATTCTTGTACTTTTCTTTTACAAGACTGGGTTGGGGCAGAAAGGAAGGAAGAAGAGATGACTCTAGAAAGTGCTTGAGGATTCCAGGAAATTGGTAGGCTGGACTTGTTAATGCTTGTAAAATGATTTTTGACTCAGGCTTTCAAATGAAAAAAATGAGATATTAGAAAAATGATAGTCTTTTATCTGCTGAGGAAGATGGATTGGTATGACTTAAGATGTCATGTATATGAATGGGTGCTATAAAGGGATCATTCTAATGACATGCTGTAAAAGACAACTGTCAGGAATAAATTATTCTTCTCTTCTGATGATATTGATGATAATGCACTCAAATTCCCCATGACACATTTCCTCACCTAAAGTTAAAAGCTTTTCCTAAAATGTTTAATGGGCGCAAAGGTCTTTGTTGTGCATTTCCAACTCCATGAAAAACATCAGGTAGTGGCTTACATAAGAGCAATTTTGCCTGCAATTAGTATGTTTGCATACAAGTACACAGGCTTTGATTAAGCAGAGGAAAGTACTTAAGTGCAGATGCAAGTTCCTTTCAGCAGTGGAGCAAAGAAACTGAAATACAAAGAAAGCCTGACTTTAGAAGGAACAGGGCTGATAAGAAGAGCAGTTCTGAGCTGAGCAGATCAGGCTCCATCAGGGATGGAGATGAGCTGGATGTAGCCACCCTCAGGGATACCTGTGCAAAAGTCACACCTGCCCGTGCAGCCTGAGACCAGCACCACACTGTCCTTGTTTGAGGAGCAGCACTGGGAACAGAGGGAGTGAAAGACAAAAGGGCAAACCCAGAGACCTGCCTGCCTGCCAGAGACCACCAGCTGTTTGAAGAGCCTGGAGATGAGGGCCCTCAGGCTGGGGGAGCTGGGGGAAGCTGCCCACCACTGCACTGCTGCCAGCCCCTCCTCCCTGAACTGCCCATGACTCACATGCAAAGCTGGGAGCACCAGTTTGCCTAGAGAAGTCTTGCTTGGACATGCCTGGGGAAAGATCACAACAGGAACATGACTGTGGCCATGGTTGACCCACAGTGGAACATCGCTGAGAGACTGGGGTTCATGAACAACCCAAACTGGGAAAGGGAAACTGAGGAACCTGACAGGAAGCCTTAACCATTGAGGGTTAGAACGAGTTGCACTGCTTCAGCCTCCCATGCAACTGTGCCTCACTGGAGGAATTTTGGTGCACTGAGATCAAAAAAAGGCAAAAAGTAAGAGTACTGGAGAGCAGGATGGGGAAGGACAGAAATTTAAGTAGGTTTTTGCACAGTGATTTCTGTTTGTTTTTTTTCCCTCACTGTGAACCAGTGATTGTATATTTGCGTTCGTTGGCAGTAAATTAAGTCAAGTAAAACTCTGACTTGATGCAGTTGTAACTTTGACAGACTGGTACAAGAAGTGATGGGCTAAATTTCAGTAAAGGAAATGTACCTTGAGCATTTGGAGTTTTCTCATGGTAAAGGAGGCTGATCACAGCTTGGATTGCTGAGGGAGGCTGCGGAGCCGCTGGAGGATTTAAGAGCAGATTAAATGAACTTCTGTCAAGAACAATTTAGAAGAAGTTGATCCTGCCTTTGAGGCGAAAGGCGAATTAGGTGACCCTCTTGAGGTGCTGCTGAGCCCTGTTGCATTTGATTTCTATGACATGGACATGGTCTTGTGTACCCCTGGGAGAAAAGAGGATACTGAGCTTAATTATTGGCAGGCAGTTTCAGTCAGCAGGAGGTGTTTCCTGAGGAGAGATGGGTTGAGACAGAAGGCTGCGGATGTTAAAGAGGTGGAGAGTGCAATTAAATGAGATTATATAATGCTGTATTTGTAACTAAGTGACAGAAAAGTGAATCCTTTTTTATTTAACCTAGTACTGACCATGTGCCTCAGAATAGTCTTCCTTAATTCAATGTATATTAAAAAATTGGATCCTCAAGTGCTCTTTAGGTCACTTTGTGGGCCAGGAAATGCTTGCCTAGATGATGCTTACAAATTAGGGAGCCACCAAGGATGCACTCACAGGCTCCACAGGCTGCAGCTGCTTTAGCCAAAATGATTACCAACTCCAGCTTCAGCTTGACTGTACACACTCCATCTCACTCCTGGCAAGGGCAAGCACGGTTTCCTCCTTCTGCCTACCACATTAATGCAGATAGCTATTTTGAGATTAAGGCCATGTTGGCTTTGAACTGCAGCCAGTAATGAACACCTGGATGGAGTTCTGCTTTATTTGCAGGTGACTGAGGTAGTATTATTAATTATTAAGCCATTTCTTGTGGTATTTAATTATTTCTCTCCATTTTTTGATGAGCAAGCAGTGCCTTTATTGCCTATAAGCAAATAAACTTCCCCATTTATCATACTAATTGTGGCCTAATGAGGAAGTACCTGGGACTGGGGGAGTTGTCTACTCTAAACAACTTTGGAATGTAGCTTCCTGTGGTAATGAGCATAGGCTGTAATAATTGGATATGCCAGGTCCTCTATTTATCATGGAGCTTAAATGCAATAAAAATTCATCATTTGCTGGTGGGCTTACAAAACACAATGAATTGTCTTAGTAAACATGGAAATGTGGAAGTAGAGTATGAATAGATATAAGATTACTTCCTCTCTGTGGCTTTGCCACACAAGGAATAATTCCTTTTCAATCTAGTGTAGATGGAACTGGAAGAAAATCAGAGCAAAGATGCTGTTCTGAACTGCATATAGCTTTAGGAGGAAGACTGGGTTTTGCTTACTTATGCTGCCCTTCTGACCCAGCAATATTTCAGTGGATGCCCTGCTGTAGAGTCCTTGGATATGCACTGTACCCTTGATAACCTCTGGGTTTTTCAGAAGGGAGCAGAATACTGGACCTGAGATCTGACCTATGGATTAAAATGAAAAGTATGGTCTGCTACAAACCAACTGTCTATCTGCAGAAAATTTAAACAGATCATATGTTTTTCTTCTGGTTTTATGTTTTACTATGAAATTAATTCACAAAGGTTTTAACACAATAATGTCTGTACAACAGGGAAACCCCATCTGAATATTCTGGAAACAATATCTTTAGTTTAATACAGTGGATAATTCACCCAATGTTTTGTAGAGTAAGAAAATATACCTGTAACTACAAGTTGGTTTTGTAGTCCTCCAATAAGACAATAGGAACCAATAACATCTGCAATCAGAAACAGAAGTTGTTTTTTAACCTATGCTATGTAATTTCAACAACAGTTCTTAAAATTATGTAGTATTAACTATTCAGTATTGATCAATATTGACAGGAATATTTATTGGAAGAATAAAGTGTAAACGACTGTAGTTTTTCAAAGCTGTTTTTATAGCACTTGATTGCTTGGAAGATGCAAAGGGAACATGTGAGAAAAACATCCACACTACTCAAAACAAGCCCTAAGGATGATAATTGAAGGTTCAAATCTGGATTAATCATATGGGCACTAGTCTGCACACATCTGCAAGTTCATGCAGTCCAGTGTTAAGATGCTGGGAAGAAAAAGAAGTAAACATCTGTCTAGCATGAAAACTGTAAGGCTGGTATTGGGGAACATGACCTAAGACTAGTTTTCTGTTATTCCTCTCTTATAATGGTACCTTCACTGAATTTCAAAAGGTGTTCATCACCTCTTTCATTTGCAGATG